TTATATAATTAAATTACTACACTTACATACACATATACATAATAAATCTTAGTCAAAGATTTTGGTTAGTTGATTTCTGAGTCAACTTTTACTATACATTTTCCTTCATAAAAATGTTTTTATTTTAATGTAGTGTTTCTTATGGAAAATTTGTAAGAACATTTCAAAGAACTTTTCTCCTGAGGCATTTGAGACCATGTTTCCATACTGTCCCATCGTTCCTACTATTTCAGTGTGTATTTCTTACACCAAAGACATTCCCAACAACACAGTCACCAAAATCAGGAAATAAACATTGGCTACCTATATTCTCAGACTCTATACAAGTTTTACCCATGATATCGATGATGCCCCCTACAACAAAAGGACCCACATATTATTACATACATTATTCTTCAAAAATTTATTTTATTCCTAAGTTTCTCTCCCCTGGCAGTAGAATCGCATTAATAATTCTTGATGTTTTTTACTTCACCAAGATTCATCTCTCCTTTTTACTTTCAGTCTCTCACTTTCTATTTGCTTTTTCCTGGATTAAGACATCTGTCGTAATGAGCCCAAAGCTGTACTACATCTGTTTGAGAAGCCTGGGACACTTGTGTTCCACATAGAGTTAATTACATTAAAGTGAGCTTTTTTTTATACTTGCTGACCTAGGAGTTACAGTCCTGTAAGACCTGGAACAGATCATCAACTCCACACTTTCTGATCCATCTTCTTCACCCATTCCCTACATACATATATTAGACAATGAAAATTACTGCAGTTACTAGTTTTTTTTTAATTGAGCTTAAAACTTTTTACTTATTATGCTTAGCTGTATAAATTGGCTGTGAATTTGTTTTATACCTATTGTATTAGTTATTCTAGTATTCAATACTAACATATTAGTTTTTAGAATCCCCTCCATCCCCAAGCCCCACCAAAAAAAACTAAGGTGAAATTTCCTAGTGGTCAAATAAAAGTAAGAAAATAGCCCTAGCTGAATTGATGCGATACTACTATCAGTGTCCTCTGGTTTGCCCCTTCCCTCTGTGGTCGGTTGATGTCACAGGGCTGTATGGAAGAAGGACACATTCATTTATCGAATAATTAACTAAACACCTATTATATGTCAAACACATTAAGCCTCTGATCTAGGACGACCAGGATGTATATAAAACAACCCAAACAAAAGCTGAGGTGTATTTCTTCCATGTCTACCCTAGAAATAATAAATCATATACCTTTATAATTATGGTTATTTTTAATACTTACTACACATGAAATGTTTTTCTTCTCGTGCAATTTTAGTTTTAACATCACATGATATCTCACAGTCTTCCTTATAAACAGTATCATTACTTTTACTTTCATCTTGCACATCTTCTACAATGTTAACTACTGGAGATGCCTTTACGTTAAAAAATAGGAATAAGAAAAAATACATGAAATACATAGCATGGCCTAATATACAATAAATAAGAATATTGTAAGGAAAAGGTTAAACTTCAGGACATATCAGGCTGATCACTAGAAAAAATAATGAACTGGTTATTTCCACAAATAAACCTATTGGATAAATAATACCAGATGGATAAATTTGTTAATTTCCTAGGTAACCATTCACAGCACTATATTTGAAATATGAAAGTTTATAGAATAGCTTTTTTTTTAAAGCAAAGTAATTTTTTTCTACCAAATCAGATATTTCGTTATCAAAGATAATTGGAAAATTGCAGGCTAGTTTTTAACCTAGGCCTGAAATTTCTTTAAAAATTTTTCATAAGAAATTTGTTAAGAATCAGTCCTCAGTTTGTAGTTTCCTAAGTTTAAAAATAGTAACATTTAAGCAGTGTAAATATTTCTAAATCAACATTTTAATTGTTCCATAAATTTTATTTGGTAGCATAATTAATCTTTTCAAGCTTCTAATATATATCTTAAGAGCTAATCATGCTTCCCTAGCTAAAACAATATTGCTAAAATTCTTACCGTAGAATGATGTACACAGTTACCTTGTACAGCTTCTCCACAAATAAAAATATATACATTTAAGAACAAGAGTAAGGCTTGGGATAGAGACATCATACTTTTCTTGGATAAATGAAAACACTTCTTCAAATATCAGTCAGCTCTCTGTGGAAAGAACTACAGAGCATAGAGTCTTCAGTTAAAAACTTCTGGATGGTGTACAACAAAAACAGAAGCCAATACTTACTAGTTTCCATGCCCTCGTTTGAAACAACACCCTGCATATGAAAAACAAGGTAGCCTCTAGAGATCCTGTCTTTTTAAGTCATATAAATCCTTTTTATTGCTTAATGCCTGTATTATAAATCCAGGCTTTTGCAACATAGGA